AACCGGGCGGGTTAGGGGGGGGCGCGGTGACGCGGCCGACCCATCGGTGCTTACAGACCCACGCGTGTTTTCTTCTTATTCGTGTTATTGTCCAAAAATTAATACACATTTTACAATTTATTTGTATATAGAAGTCTGATTTCTTCAACTGTATCGCCCTGAAGTGACAACTTGATAGTTTGGCCCTTGTGAAGGCATTTTTTCTGTGCATTTCTAGGCAAGCTATGTAAAATCTATGTAAAAGAGATTTATGGAGAATTAAATATGGCAAAGTAACTTATTAAGCATCTTTCCTGTGGAGAGGGGTGTTGGAAGGCCCCCTCTTCATGCCTCCTTTGCATCCCAGGACCCTGTGCCTAGGACGGTGAGGAGATGCTTCTGACTTGACATTTAGGTTTCTGCATGTTGGATGGGGTGGCGGGAGGATTATGGCGTGCGGCTACCCCAAGGTGAAAAGCAGAGCTGATAAGGTAAGGTAATCTGTTTTAGTTCTTTTATTTTCAATAACTATGAAAGAATCATAGAGATAGTTTTCATAAAATCTATTTTTCTGAATGGATAAAGATGTTGTATTATATACAATGGAATATTATTCAGCCACAAAAAAGGAATGAAACCTTACCATTTGTGACAACAGAGATGGATCTACAAGGTATCATGCTAAGTGAAATAAGTCAGACAAACAAAAGACAAATATCATGGTTTCACTTATATGTGGAATCTAAGAAACAAACAACAACAACAAAAACAGGAAAAGATTCATAGAAACAGAGGAAAAACTGATGGTTGCCAGAGGGGAGGGGCGGTTAAGGGGACTGGGTGGAAAAGATGAAAGGATTAAGAAGTACAAATCAGCACTTACAAAATAGTCTCAGGGAAGTAAAGTACAGCACAGGGAATATAGTCAGTAATACTGTAGTAACTTTGTATGGTATCAGGTGGGTACTAGACTTGTCAGGGGGGACACTTTGTAAATTATGTAATTGTCTAACCACTATGCAGTACACCTGAAACTAATATAATATTGAATGTCAACTGTGGGGAAAAAAATTTTAATTTAAATTAAAAAATAATAATTTAAAAGAATTACTGAGAGAAGTGCGAAACTTGGAGGCCAGTGCCTCAGGTGTTAAGAGGCAGGGCAGCCCTTACCAGGGAGGAGGGTTGGACTCCCAGGGAAGGGAAGGACGGTGCCTGCAGGCCTAAATGGGAACTTTGCCTGAATTATAAAACACCCTTTTTTTGTCAAGTCACTTACAGACATCTGCTTGAAAATTATTTTGCCATAGAAATTCATGACCACTAAAAAGTGACTGGTGCCCTCTGGGGAAAATGTGCATTCAGAGGCCCAGGATACTGCGGATCTTGTCAATGGTTAGGATTTAAGGACTGGCAAATGCAGGGCTCTGGGGTGGGAAGGGTTCAGAAAGACATGCCATATGGGTGCTCAGGAGGCTGAGCACAAATGACAAAGGCATGTGAACTTAGAGGAAGAAGCTGGTGACCAGCCTGTCCCAAGGAGTGTGGATCAGGCAGTCCTGGGCAAGGAGCATGACATTGGCCTTTAGGCTGGACTGAAGCCATGCCTCCTTCCTTTCCATTCCTGTGTGCAATCCAGGTACTGGTATAGCTCAAAGGATATATGTTCTTTACTAACCAGTACTGGGCTGTTGGCCATACATGTTATATGAACCATTTAATTTAGAAAAAGATATTTGACAGTACTTATAGCCACAATGAAGCAGAAAATATCATTCTGCTTCACCTAAGTGGGCTCATTATGTATCAATTTCTGCAAAAGGAACATCCAAGTATTTTAGTACAAGTAGTACTAAATGTTGGCACTGCCCACACCATCAAGTTTAAACTTCCCTGCATAAGTGTATATTTACATTGCTCCCAATTGATTATTACTGCAAACAGTCCCACAGTAAACATTTCATATATATAATAAGTACACACATGGAAGAGATTTTCTTTAGTATACATTCTTGTAGAATTGCTTAATCAGCATATACGGGAATTAAACATTTGATCTTACTGCCTAATTTACCTTAAATCAAAGAGATAAAAAGTATCATTATTATAATCTCATACCCAGCTTATCTTCAAGCCTGGCGTCTGAAAACTTGATCCTGAAGGCTCTTTTATTTTATAATGAACTCATGTCCCCCCAAAAATAAATAATTTTTCCAAGATTATAACCAGATAGAGCTCGGGGGTCTTGAGTCCAAAGTCTTTGTACTCAGGTTGGGTTTTCTGGGCAGTGTGAACATTACGAAGTATATTTTACAAACGTTTACATTGAAATTAAAGAGGCTAACACCATGCATACTCAATAAAAATTTAAATATGTATTACAGCTATGAGTTTTATGAGGTCTACTCAGAAGAGTAAGGGACATGTGAGGGAGGTCACCCCCATTCCAGGTCCAACCCTCAGGCCCCCTGCTGGCAGCAGACACAGCCACAGCTTCCCTGGGGTAGAGTCGTGACTGCTGACGCCCCGGGTTATCATTACAGAAGAGCCATTGAAAACAAGCCAATAAATAAAAAGCATGAGGGAGAACACGGACCTGCTGAGCACCATGTGGGCACCTGGAGCAGGAGGACCCCAAAGAGGACGCCGGCAGCGCAGCCAGGAAAAGGCACCATCCTCGGAGCTGGAAGGGGGCCCAGCAGCGCGATGTGCTCACTCTGACAAAGGAGCTGCAGGGGAGGTGGGAAAGCCGCCGGGGGAAGGTGTTAGGAAAGAAGTTCCCTTTTTATACACAGGCTTTTGTCTGTTTTCCCTCACAGACCTCAAGATAAACACCACCAACTCCCACCCACCCCCAGTGGGTTTTCCTTTCCTCTCCTTTTTCTGAAAACCAGCAGTTTCCCCAGCAGGTGCAGAGGACTGTAAACCGTCCCCCGGTGTCCTGTGAGCTGTGTGCTCCCCGGGATGCAGCCTCTCACCAGGGCTCTCGTGAAACAGAAAACCCGGAGCTCAAAGTTGAGAAATGGGGTCGGACTCAAAATTAGTCCACTCTTCTCAGCTAGCCTATCTTTTTCCTTGTCATTCATTCACTGATACATTATTTATTTATTTTGACCACAAACAGCTCTTGTGGCTAAGCTCCCAAAGAGGAAGGTAGTTTTCTCACCATGTAACACGGAGATCAAGCCCTTCCTTTTTCAGGACCCACGGGTCCCAAAAACACACCTGCACATCACAACGTATGTCTCTCTTACCATCCAGATTGAGCAGAGGCTGGGTGTTCCTGGAAGCTCCCGGTCTCCTCGGTACACCTGCAATGCCTGACTCCAGAGACAGTTTGCAGCTGGCTGTCCTTGTGGCCAGCATCCAAGGGTGTGGCTGCAGGGCCTGGGAGCAGCAGGCTTCTAACCCACCTCTGGACTGGGGAACTATTCTTAGGAGGGGGGACAAACCGGGCTGCCAGGAGGCACTGGCATTTGAAAGTCTCCCCTAGAAAGGGTCTGATGAGAAAGGTGGAGCCGGACTCCAGCCCTTCTAGTTACTTTGAAAGTGGAGGTAATAAAGGTCATCCTGGAAGACTTTGGACTGAGCTGAGCTGTAGAATGATGGGAGCTCTAAAGCCGCGTTGGTGGAAATGCTCAGTGTGGCTTTCTCCTCCTGCCTGCAAAGGCCTGAAACACATTCCTCAGAGAGGAAATCCTTCCTGTATGATACTCGGGGGCTGATCATTCCAATGTTCAATTCACAAATGTAACTGATTTAGAAATAAGACCAAGAGGAGGAGCGTGCTTCCTCCCACCACACCCTAAAGGACGCTGGAAGCCGTGTGCAGAGCTGTGCGGGGAAATAAGAGGTCAGAGACCGGAGGCCCTAAGCTCCAAAAACCTTAGGGCTCCCCATAGTAGAATAGAAACAAAAACAAGTTGTACAGTGCCAGGCATAGAATGTGCTCAAGGGGTGTTTTCCTTCCATTTCACATACTTTCCAAGTTCAGTCTATGATTCTTCATGTCACTCAAGGT